TCACGGTTCTCTCTTAGAGGTTTGACATGTACGAATAGAGCTCTTTTTCAGAAATTGAACTCTGGAGATCGTCTGTAGTTTCTCTATAGGATGTGTATGTGTGAACTCAAATATCCGAGCGAGAGTTTCTGCAGACTTTGTCCACCTGGCCCCTTTAGTATAAAGAGCACAATAAGTCCAGAGGACTTTTGTGTGAGAACAGAACAGGAGAGAGAGCAGATCGCGATTTCTATGTGCTATAGACAAAAACGTGATCTCCGCAGAAGAATTATTCCGTTAGATCCTCCTCTGTCTGCTGCAGTACCCGTCACCTGATTCTCACAGAGTGTGAGTGGAGAATCTCCCACTGCTTTGTGCATGTGTGAAAGGTCAACTGCGGAGATAGTCCAGATCAAATTCTCCGGAGTCTCTCCACAGGACATGTCTCAAAACAGCTTACCCTGGCTGAACGGTGTTCACAGTAACAACCTTTTTGATCTATATTATTATAGATGCCAAACTTGATCTGAATGGTTTCCAGTCACACATCTCTTCATCTTCTTTCCCAGTTAATACAAAGACAGCTCTTAGTAAAAATCTGCATCCCTGTTTTCCAGCTTCACTGCAGAATCAGCCTCGATGAATAATTCAGGCTCATAACATCCTTTGTTTGAAGCAAAGAAACATTTGAACTTACACAGTTTTAATTGCTGCAAGCCTGTTTAGCTCATTAACTAAAAATAATGTGAAAATGAATGACTCACATGAATCAAGGACCTGATTCACACCCATTTGATGAAACTGGAGCCCCGGAGCATATCCTCAACTCAGATTCTCTCTTTGTTTGCCTCCTTCATTTGCTTTCAGTTTGTCCTCTCTTTGATTCACACTGTCCTTATGTTCTTTATATCTGATTTCTCATTTGTTTCCCCTGGCTGTCCATCATGCCACCTGTCACCTCAAAACTTGGCCTTTCTCCCAGCTTTGCTGTAAATCATACCTTCTCTGTGAGTCTCCATTCTCTCCTCCGTTATTACTTTTCCTCCTTTTCTCCTCCACATCTGCCTCTTTTCTCCCTGTGTCACTCTTGACTCTTAGAGCTCCTTTTTTAGATTCTCTCTCTTCTTGCTGCTTCACTTCTCCCATGCGCTCCTCCTTTGAGACCACTGAAGTCTATCTTCATGTCCCAGGATAATGTCACGTCAATCTTAACAAGAACGCTCCTTAGCTGTGCCAGATGATCAGTGGGTCATTCTTCCCTTTAACTCTGTCTGTGTACGTGCGCAGATCTAGGCATGTTTTCTGCACATGCTTACATCTATCATACATAGAGGTTGTTTGTTTTTTTGTCAGTCTTATGCAGGTGTCCTCTATGGATGTGATAGAAGTGCCAGCTCCAACATATCTCACTGCCCCAGTGCAGGTGGAGAGGGAGGGTTTAGGGCGATAGTGTAGCATATACTGGGGTTCAAAAAGAGAAAGGAATCCCCCTGAGGACGGAAAGGAGACTGCCTGAGGAATGGAAATTGAAAGAGTGAGGTGAGTGACATAAAGAAGAAAGAAAAGGTGAAGGGCTCTAGGAGGGACAGTAAATGGGAGAACGGAATTAATGAGGTAACCAAGATTTTGAGAGAGTGAGGTAGAGCCTAAAGACGACAACGGATAAATTAAACAAAGAAGGGGGGTTTTGGATTGAACTGATATATTGAATCTACTCTGTTCTTTTGGGTCAATTGTCTGGCCTCTGCCAATATATTAAAATTAATTGGATCATTCTTGAAGTGCGGCAGCAACTCATCTTGCAGCTGGAGTAGACTGAATCAACTCCAAGGTAATTGAGGTAAAGCCGAGAGGCAAAGAGGAGCTAACAACAAACTTGCGCTCGCTGTGGCTTAAAAGCCGACACTGCCGGGGCATTTTACCTGTATGAGCGGCAGAATAATGAAGTATGGAGGGCACTCATCTCAAAGACACATCTCAGCTTTGACAAGGCAATTAGAGAGGAGCAGCATCTCATGTAGTGAACAGCACCTAATTTCCTGCAGCTCAACGTGAAGACGTAGTTAGATCCATCTTATGAATCCCTTTGACGAGGTGGTGAAAGTGTTACTGCACACAAACAGCACTTCTTGGTACGTGTCACGGGAACGCTTGACAGAAAACAGTAGTTCCATAAAGGCACAGTTGAAAAGCAGAATGTCAGTAGAAAGCGTTTGTGAATTATTTGAAAGCAGCACAATGTAAAAATGTCAGTTACGGTGAAAAACTTCATGAAAGAGTGAAGCAAGGCAGGAGGTAAAAGAGAGACAGGAGATGAAAGAGCACTAGGAGGAAGACTGACACTGCAAGGAGTTGCACCGAGAGGGATGACGAAAGTTGAGATGGAGTCGCACATGCACACATGCACACGCACACACACACACATGCAGTAGATTGAAGAGCAGTAAGAATTTCTTTCTGCCTCTTTTGACTTCCTGCTTCCACTAACTCAACCTAAAGCATTCAGCCCCCAGAGGCCTTGGTTTACAGTGATTTTAAATTAGCTAAGGAGCATTGTTTGGCACAATGTAGAGTGGATTATTAACACCCGGATATCTTTGTTTATGGTGCAGCTGTTGAAGTAATGTTCGATTATGTTAGCACTTCTCTTTGCTGGTACAGGGTAGCTTGACTCTGGTACATTTTAAATGTGCACTGCCAGGAGTGTGAGTATTTCAGTATGATTGCAAGGACCATTGAGACCTACAGTATCTGGAATGACCACAATGGCCCATCATCATTCTCTTCTTCAGTTATAATGCTTTTTTTTATTTCTATAACCAGTCACAATCAACTAAGGATGCAGCAACACTGCCCCTGCTCACGGTTATTACTGTCTGTCTGTATCTGGCTAATACAACTCAACAGTGTGGTACCTGAAGTAAAAATCCAATTCATTTTCTGAGCTGAGATTTTTAATGATCAGCCTTCACCAGCCAAGGTAAACTGATGAGAAGCCTCAAGTCCACAAAATATCAACTGTTGTCCAGGAGGACAATCTTCAGGTGTCTCTGATTAGTGGAGCTCACTGTTACCATGGCAATGGTTTCCACAACCTGCGAAAATCATGTTGACTACAATAGGCCTCAATTGAACCAGTATCACTACAATATGTTACTACACTACACTATATGTAACACATATACATACATGACACAAAGTACTGGTTTGCTGAAAGTCATTGGAATATGTTTCTCTTTGAAACCCTAAAATATTATGTACACAGTCTTGCACCTTTGGCTTACTTCAGTTTTCCAATATTCTTTCTCATCAAATATTTATGAACTTGATTCATCTCGTAGCCATCGGCCTGGTTCCGGGCTTAAAACTCTTTTTATCAGGATTTTCTAAAACGTCAATGTAGAAATGAATAGAATATTTACTTTCTAAAAGTCGGTGTTCCCTACAAAGAAAACACAAAATAAACCGTAAATGATGGTGTGTCTGTAGTGGAAAGATTAAAATCTTCTTTCATTATCAGGGTGTAGGTTGCAGCAGAGGGTCTTATTCCCAAAGTGACGGGTATTTGAAAAAAGGCAACAGGCCAGAAACACAAGGCAAGATAATGCTTCAGTAATACTGTTGTTATGCTGTCACAGGTGTGTGTTTATGGAGCATTTAAACCACGGCTTTGGATGCAGCACAACCTAATCGCAGAAATATCCATTTTATAAATGTCACAGTGCAGAGTTTTGTCTCCAGATTTTCACTGTTAAATTAAATGAATTCTCACACACACTGTTCCCAACTCAGTTTGCCAGATCAGGAGTTAGGGAGCACTCAGAATGGAACGGGAGAACAAATGCTTTGGTGGAGAATGAATACTTAATTCTGGCAGTGGGAGTGTGGGAGTGTAGCTTCAGGGTGTCACTGGGGAAAATTGGGAACAATGAGCTATTGGACATGAGCTGTGATGGCCTATTATTATTTTTAATTGAATACAGTCAATAGAGACATACTACTAGGCTTGACATAAGCCATAATTTCAAAACAACATAATTACAGCATTTCCTTTTTCTGAATTTACTGCAGTCACAGTCGTTCTCATATTTCTTGACTTGAATGCAAATGCATCACTCACTTCAGCTCAGACCTTTCCATGAGTTTTTGTCCTCAGTGCCACAGACTGTGGACTGATGAAAAAGTGGAACAGTTGATGAACAATATAGGAAAGACTGCAAGCCACTGCCATGGGGGATGGCATTGGTCAGACAACCTCTGATGGTGGCAGGCATTTTATGGCAACAGGAAGAAAAATAAAGGAAAATAAACTTCTTATAATTGTTTAAATGTTACAAAAAATAACCCAGGAGAATATATGACCACTGTGGAATCTAAAATGTCCAGTAGTTGAAATTGTTGTGTCTGATGCAGTCTCTAGAAACCACTGATGTATGTCGTTCGTCGTCACTGCAGCCACCACAGTACATGTAATCAGGGATAATAAGACGTTTAGCGTTCAGTGATACAGTACGTGTCTGCATGAACTTTTGAAGTTCAGCACACATGATGATGGATTGCCACTGCCGGCTGGTAGACATGCACTCCCATAATCCTTTACATATGGTGCGGAGCACGCAAGCAGCCCTAACCACTTCATTAACTTTTAATTTCCCATTTGAGTAAGTCAGAAAATAGAGTGTAATAAGTTTTGTCTGATGTCTGTCGACTGCCATGAGATATGAAGACAAAAGCGACATTGTGAAAGGCAGCGTGCAATAGCTTTGATCTACAGAAATGATCAGTTTGTGCTGTTTATCGTATAAGGTTTACACACCAGTCATTACATGTATCAGTTACAGTGGTCTCAGTGCTGTTTTAGAAACTTGAATACCAGCACCAAACACCAAAAAGTGTTCAAACCAGCCTTTTTGATAACAGCTCGCAAAACTCAATATTTCTTGAGACTCGATGATTTCAAGGAAACTAATCTCAGCCCCTCTCCAATCCTCCCTGTCCTTGCCATCCTCTCTCTCCCTCAGAGCTAATAGATGGGACCCCCACCTTGAAAATCAACCATGGCTCTGGCATAGTGGTGCTACAGTTGCCAGGCAACGTGAACGTGGCAGACAGGCGCTGGCATCGGCTGGATGTCCGCAGCAACAGCAAGGTGGGACACTTCACCCATTTAACACCAACCACCATCCAATACGCTTTAAGTATATTCACACTGAGCTTTGCAGTAGAATAAAAACTTGTATTTCGACTTGTTCCCCTTTCAATTCAACATTTTCATCATTAAAATAAAGAATGTTTTCCAATGTTAACCTTCCTTTTTCCTTCAGCTGACTTTTAAGTAGATGTGAAATGGTGAACAGTGAAGAATGTTATTCATATTAACAGCCAAATTGAACTCATATTCACTATGCGGCTCACTAACATAACATGGGTGAGGTGAAGTACACTGTACTCACTGAACATTCACCACGTGAAACAGGCAAGACTGAAGGTGCTTCTTACAGGAGCCTGATATCTTACATTTGGCAATATTTTATGAACAGTCGTGGACAGAGCACCACTCTGAACCTTAGGTTGACATGGGGGTGCACCCATGGGTGGGGCCAGGGGGCACTGGCCCTGACTGAAATCTGATTGCAATACTAACAATTTGTTGACCAAGGAACAATTTTCGATTTACTCAAATCTGTAGCGTTAACAGTAAACAAGGAATGACTTAAATGTGTGCCATACTCATTTAGGAATTGGACATTTAATTGGCCCCTCCATGTAAATCATTGCCCCTTTATGGCCCCTGATCTAGAACTGCCTGATATGATCAAAGTTAGAGCAAATATAAAGGCTGCCTGTTAAATCTGTTCTGGAGACCAGTGGCAAGGGGACACGCTCGATCAGGGCACAAGTTAAAAAATAGCAACAACATTGGAGTAATAATTAATTTATTGTCCTGTATTACCTTTTGAAAAAACTTGATTTATAGGATCCTATAAATATAAACACATAAGTATAACACATTTTGTTTACAGCATCCATGTTTTGTCAACATTCCAACTTCTACAAAGATATAAATCAAAAAACCAAACCAGGAAAACAATAAAGTAAATGTCCATAAACACAGAGTCCAACAAAAGATCCAAACAGTCGGTCAAAAGGACAGAATCATGACATAAACTGTGTCGCCTTTTTTAACTTAACATCCAAAGCAAACAATGTGATCACACTTTTGTCCATTGTAACCTTACAGATGGATTTTCAACATTATTCCATCCCATGAAATCCAAATATCACTTATTTGACCCCATGCAAGCCCACTTGACACAATAATTTCCGAGGGATCCAAAGGTGGAAGAGGTTATTTGGTAATTTAGCATTGCAGATCTGTCTGCTCTGTGCGGTACAAAGGCAGACAGTAGTGGCGAAAGTAAGACGAATGATTGCAATGGTCCTCCTTTGGCAGTCTCCACCCAGGATCATTCCTGGTGAATTAAATTAGAGTGAAATTAAGCTCATCTTCATTTGACTGAGGGCCGCCCAGAGCTCTTCACCTCCAAGGACCCACATGTTACCAGTGCCTTACGGTTCTTGTTCCTCTTAAATATCAAGACCACAGTCAGTGGTCCTATTTTTAGTTTTTTGATATGAGGCAGCCTAAAGAGCTGCAAGCCTTGCAGCTTCACTTCACTGAGATTAGGACACTAAAGCAGCTGGAATGGCTGCGTATCAACCTTGTTTTGGGAAAGTCAGCCCAACATAGAGCAGCTGAGGACCACTTCAGTCAGAAGCACAGGGCTGAGTCAGATTTTTGTCAGTACAATTTTATATTAATAGTCAACACTATTAAAAGCCTATTTAAGCCCTTAAATTATATTATTACATTGACTCACACAGCCTACATAGGCTTACCATTTTAATATAGGACTTGTGATCAGGAACCTTGGCTTTCCACTAGCAACCAATGAATTGTGTGTGTGATGTGTTTCCTTTACCAAACTGTAGTTAAAGGTTCAGTGTGTAGAAATTAGTGACATCTAGTGGTGAAGTTGCATGTTGCAGCTGGACACCCCTCACCTCACCCTCCCCTAAAACTCAAAGGGTTTTTAGTTTGTCCAGTTTAGGGGACAGTAAAAAACATGGCAGCCTCCGAAGAGAGGACCCCCTCCGATGTAAATATGAAGTATTTCAATATAAAGGGCCCATTCTAGGGTAAGGCAAACAACAATTTGTACAATTTAGATGAAACACAATATCGAAAACATCACTAGGTCTTTTTACATGAAATTTCTGCCGATAGATCACTTTCACGTAAATCTTACACACTGGACCTTTAAGACAATCATCGCTTCAAAAGTTGTCTTACTAGTTTTGTTCATAACATTCATTTGTTAGATTTCTTCAGAGTGAAAGAAAGCAACAGCACCATGCAGGGAACCTTTTTCTCAGTGTTGAGAATGAGAGCAGTCAGATGAAAATAATGTCAGGAGATCATCCTGACTTCAGTGCATGTCTGAAAGCAGCTTAATATTAGCCTTTGTGTCATGACACATGTACTGTATCTCCTGTTGATACATTTACAACCATTCATATACCGCTTCTCCTTTGAGCGTCGCAGGGGGGCTGAAGCCAGCTGACATTAGGCAAGAGGCAGGGTACACCCTGGACAGGTCGCTAGCATAACACAGGGCCTATACACAGGGCATTTACACACAAATAACCAGTCTCACTCACATTCACACCTCTAATAAAGTCTCCAGGTAACAGTGCATGTCTTCGGACTGTGAAGAAAACCCAGAGGAAACCTGACAACTCATTGATATTCCAACCTAGAACATTCTTACTGTGAGGCCCTATGTAACTTTAAAATGTCTGAGATATTACAACTGAAACTTCTGCTCTTTGGATAAACCGTGTCAACAAGTTTTCCTGGCTCGTATTCGGACAACATATGAAAGCTCTTTATCACAGATGTGAAACAAGTCTGTTCATTAGTTGTGTATTCTCTGAACTAAGCACTAATGGTCGGGAGTGTATGCCAAAGCACACACACACACACTGAGTTGTTAACCAACAGAGAAACTGCGATGTGTTTGGTGCCAATGGACTAAATCACAAACCTCTCCGTGCGGTCAGGGCTGTGATGTACTGTTTGTGTCCAGATTAACCTTCTTTACCTTTGATGCTACCTGCCTTTTGTTCCATCTCTTTTTTCACAACTATTCATTGTGCAGAACGAAGAAGAAACAGAAGGAATAATGATAATTGGAAAAAGGTTCATATGGCTTCTGCTGAGCTTCCTTATACGTATATGCAGAACTACTGCAACATGCTGGTTTAAGATTGTTCTCGATTGTCTCTTTTTGTGTACCTTAACAGGCCACATAGCAGGCAGCAGCAAAGCAATATGCACTGATGATAGAAATGTCAGAGTCACAGCAGATATTAAAGTAACTATGGTAAAAGAGCATAATGAAGTACATTCATTGTCAGGCACAGACTTTGTTGGATTTTTTTGTGTTTTTTTTATTTGCTCTGATAACATTAGTTTTGTATACAGTAGCATGGGCTCATTTGTGTGTTCTATACAGGAAGTGCGTTTCACCCTGGATCGGTGCTCCGGAGCAGCAGTGATGGAGAGGGAGGGTCTGGGCAGCTGGCTGACCACAGAGGACCACTCCTCCTGTGAGGTGACAGGCGTCACACCCAACAATGACAGGTACACCCAGACACCTGAACGTGCACACTTCTTTTACAGGTTGCCACATGAAAGATTTTCAATTTCCCAGCAAATAAATGACATAAATAGGGAACAGCCTGAGGGATTTGATTTATTTACAGACCCAAAACTAAACAGGATACTAGGAGTTATTTAGCCAAGTTGCATTCATATTGTTGTATTAGCAAAGGCTCAGTTATTAAGAGTAATATGTAAAGGGTTACTCATGGTGACAAACTGCTATCACCATCTCTGCTATCCTGTCATATCTATCTGAGCGTTTTTCAGTAAGTTGTTCTTTGCTTGTTTGATATTCTGTGTTTGATGTTAAAAGGCTGATGACATTAAGATGCTTAGCTTAGGCAGTGGCTAATGTCACTAATGATGTGGTGAAACTGTATTTAGTTGTAGTTGTGTTTAGTTCTTGTCAAAGTTTTGACATTGTGCCTCTTTTATCAGATAATTCTAACAGTTTTATCCAAGTGACAGGGATATGACTGCATGTATTAAATGTACTCTGAATATGAGCCCTGATTGACAGCAGGGGATGTTTACGTCTGTGTGTGTTTATCACCGCCCTCTCTGTGTGTTCAGACACCTGAACATGAGCCAGGTACTGCAGCTCGGTGGTGTGAACGAGGACATCCCCTACATCTACCCTCAGCTTCAGCACAAACACTTCACTGGCTGCATCCGCAACTTCATCGTGGACAGCAAGGTGACACACTTGTGCACGCAACAGTGACACACACACATACACGTACCCACACAACCATGAGCACAGCTGGATGGATGCAAGCAAAACCCACACCTGCACTCCAGCTGATAAATGACTTAATAACAGGTTTCAGCATTCACAGTACCCTTGTGCCATGTAAGAGTTTTTTTGTGCTTTTAACTGTAATCTCAAAGCACTTTCAAATAGTGCACACAGTACGTGCACTCCCAGGTTGGAATGGAATATGAACCTTTCATATGAACTTTTCACTGCCAAGATTTCAAGTCAAGAGTTTCAAGTAGCTCTCGACTGAGGGCGAAGAATTAAGGACTATGAAAATCAGAGCCCAACCCCAAGATTCCCATATATTTTCTTTATAAACAGCGGCATGAGGTAAGATAACCTTATCTAAACAAATTCCCTCTAAAGCCAGAAACTTTGTATTTCTGCAGCAATTTTAAGTTTGGCATCAAACACACTAAGGGAGAAATTTTGCCTTTGTGCGTCTTAAACTCTTTTGCCTGATATATCTAGTATTTAGACGTAAATGTCAAGGTGTTTTTTAGACAGAATTTCCACTGATGTAAAATGGTTAAGATGTGGAATTCTCTGAAGATAAGAATTGTTTTTGGCTTACTGCTTAAATACACTATGTGTTTAGCCCACTGAGAAATAGCATTGTGTTGCCAGTGTGCTGCTTGCATCAGTTATGAAGTGTGCTCTACATTCAGGTATACATTGAATCTGATCATGATATTTTTAGAGTGGAACAGGGATTCTCATTTTACGTAGGAGGCGGTGGAAACTTTGACAGGTTGTTTTGCCACAGTCGGCTTGCTTTAACTTGGCGCCAGTGACTACTTCCAGTTTGGTGTGAGAACTGAGCTGATCTACTGGTACTGTGGGAACAGATATTGCTGTAGTTTTTCAATTAAACTACTTCTCAAGTTGTTGAAGTGAAGGGGCTTGGATAAATACTTACTTTTATTTTGTAATAAGACAAAAACACTCATAGAAACAACTTCTCCTGATACCAATTCCACCCCAAAACTCTGTAACACTGTTAACCCTGAAATCCTCACAGTATTAAATCATTGGGATCATTCATGTATATGGACTGTAACATACCATAGGCTGGCAGAGGGCTATTTGGATGCTGAACTTGAGGCGGCATCAGCAGTATATCTCAGGCAACAGTGTGCTGCCCACAAGGGGAACAAATCTGGAAATAGTCACTTTAACAGTCCTCAGAAAAAGTCACTCAGGTAAAGAACACCTGATGATGTCAACCACACAACACTGCGGCACATGAGCATTTAATACATGTAAGCTGATGAGGATCACAAGAAGAGAAGAGAGAGGAGAAAGAGAGCAGAAAGTCAATAATGTGAGAATTCACCTGTTAAACAAACTAATGGCCAATTCGTATTCCTCTGAATGAGCTCAGATTCAGCCTTCTGCATCATTGGAATTACCTACTCTACAAAACACATTAGTCTGTTTGCAGTCTAGCCATAATCTCAAATTATTTGGTTAACTCACTTACTTTTGTAATTTTACTATTTAGCCACCTGTTATTTACAACAATACAAAAAATAAAAGACTACACTTATGACATCTAAACTAGCAGGAAGAGGGAAAGTGTGTTTCATAAATATAATTGTGAAAAACTCAAACTGTGGGTGTACTTGTTCTTATATCTCTGTAAGGACCATTTTGAGCACAGACCATACAGAGTGGGAACATTTTGGCCTGTCCTCACTTTTTCTAAAAAATATTTGATGGTTAAGATTTGTTTTTAAGGTTAGACTTGGGTTTAGGTCAGGATTAGGGTTATACATTTTGTTGTGGGATAAGTTTTTTGGTGAGGCTGTACTTAAAGGTTCAGTGTGTAGAATTTAGTGACATCTAATGGTGAAGTTGCATGTTGCAGCTGAATACCCCTCACCCTCCCATTCCAAGGGTTTTTATGGCAGTCTTCAGTTGTCATAAAAACTCAAAAGTGTTTTAGTTTGTCCAGTTTGGACGACTGTAAAAAACATGATGGCCTCTGTAGACATGTCTAGCTTTAAATATAGAGGGGCCATTCTAGTGTAAAGAAAACAACAATTTGTACAATTTATATGATCACACACGAGTGAAAACATCAGAAAGGATAATTGAGACACACTGCAGAGTAGGTTTGGGAGGTTATAACAGCCCAAAGGTTTGTGGGAAAGAGTTTTGTAGTTATCACAGTTATCTTCAAATGAAGAACATTAGCAGTCACCCGGTCGCTTACACAGACTTCTTTTGTCTACTTGTCTAGTTTTGTGTTGGAGCCACGGGGCCTCTGTGCTCTGTGGGTGTTAACTTTTAGAAACTGTAATCTTGTTACCTCCATGAAAACAATTTATCTTTATCCAGACCTTTAAATTAAGATGTTGAATCTCAAGAGTGGGGATAAAAAATGATGTAGGCCCCTTCTGCTCCAGCGTTTAAGGCTCGTAGTTGATGCGCTGCACCTTAGCTGGAGACGTAGCGGGAGGCTGCACAAATGTTGTGTTCTAATGAGAGAAATCTGCGTGGTGCGTGTGGGCGGACATGACGATAATAAATCTCCAAAGAGCAAGCATCAGTAGGAATACTAATGATTAATAATGGTGATGGACATTGTAAGGTTTTTGTGTTTTTCTCTTAATTTTTTTCCTGTGGTGTTGCTGTTTTTATTATCACAGAATGTTCTACTGTGTGACATTTGTTGCTATAGTAACATCATCCGTTTCATTTGAGGTATGAGGGGCTGTGTGGTGGTAAGGAGAGGGACACTGTGCTCTCACTGTGACTGACCACTTTGTTTGTTCCCTTGTTCTCTTGCTTTTCTCCATACATTGGGACTTAATTTCCATCTGTGTATATATTTGCCTTGATCCTGTGCTCTGAATACATCTCTTCACCCTGACCTTACCTATATATATATATATATGTGTATATATATATGTCTGTTTTGGAGCCAGGCCGAGATACAAGATGTACAGAACATACCAAACCTGTTCAAGTATGATGCAGTGTATGAGGGCGAGGATGAGGAAGAGACTGACGTAGACAGGAGGTTTTTTTATATAATTGTGTTTCTATTCTGGAGTTGGATCTTTCACTGACTGTCATCCACCATTGTATGTTTTCAGCTTTCTCCACCGTTGTCCAGTTATTATTCAGCTCGTCTTCCTCCCTTTAGCTCTCAGTCTAACATTACTGCCTCAAATTTTTTCTGTTATTTTGACACAACTGTCACTCAAATTTTAAGTGGGGAGGTTTGCAGTTACAGGGCTTGAGATTATGTTTTCTTTTCCTTTCTTAATGCTAGCTGTCTTGAGTTGCAGTTCAGCATGCAGGTCTGTCTCAACCCAAAAATTTGACTCACAACCAGGACCAGTGTTGAAAACACGCATTCATACTTCCAGCCTCCCTGCACTTCAGGAAAGTCATGGTTTCTGTTGTCAAGGCAAACAAACCAATATATTTTAAAGGAGGGGTAAGAGGTTCTTTGGAATGTTTTCGAACTCAACACCAAAACAAATACACCCCTCCCTTCACTGCTCCTTTAGCTCCACCCCCCACATTGATGCAAGACCAAGGTGAACCACTGATCTCAACTGTGGCAGTTGACGATGCCACCGGGGTCTCCCCACAACAGTCAGAGACGAACCATTAGCTTTTCAGCATTCTTTTTATTTATTAAATGGGCACCGACATGAAATCAAATGAAACTCAACTTAAAGTGTCGAGCAGTCTTCGGTTGGCAGCTCAGCTCTGTCTTTTCTCCTTTATTAGCCTCACTCGTGTTCCTCTGCGTCTCTCAGTGTTTCTTTGTGTGTCTCTCTCCATGTGGTCTCTCCTGTTCCTTCCTGTGGCAGTTCTGCTGCTGCCTTTTGAATCCAGGGAGCGTTAATTGGCCAACTAATTTTAGCTGTGCCTATCAACACTGCCTGGTTCACCTGGAGGTTCTCTGCGAGCCACCTCACTAGTTGGAATTAGCCACGACAAACATCAGCGTTATCTGTAGACAAAATGCACTCCATGTATTTACACAAACTAAACATTCAAGGACTAGAATCAGCCGCAACAGGGTGTCTGTCTTCACTTGAAGAATTGCAACACTAGCGTTAAATAATTAGCTGCTGCCCCCTCGGAGGACGTCACATACCAGCATGTGGTCGCTGTGGTCCGAGAGGAGTACATGATTAACCAGAACAGGAGACGGTGCTGATCTTACCAAGTTGGAATTAGTCACCACAAACATTAACAAATAGAAAAACACACGATACTGACCCATTGGTTCTGCTAACAGCAAAAGCAAAATTAATGTTACCCACTTGACAAGCAGAATCAGAAAAACCCTCTTATCCCCTTTCATCACATTCAACTCTTGTGGTCTCTCCACCATTGAAATGGTCTTGGCTCTTTCATTATCTCGTTATCCTTTGGGTTAGCTGTAGTCTGTGGTGTTTCAGCACTTAGAATTTGTGCTACTGAAAAAAGTATTGTGGGTATGACTTTCTGTGAGATTGCAGTGTTAGCATTGCCTGTGTCTAACAGTGTTTATCACGTTCTGAAACAGTAAGTGGCGGCGTATGTTATCTGAGGCCACTTTTTCAGGTCATCCTCCAATCCCTTGTCTGTAGAAGGAAGAAAAAAAATCACATTATCTCAGGTAATATTTCCATGTGTTTTAATAAAAATCACTTCTAGAAAGAGGACTAATGTAAAGTTAACATATATTATATATCTTGGGAAATCACTGTTTCTGGCTCAGAGACCTCTTTGTGCCCTTGTTGCTGATTGGCTGAAACAGTGTTGTGCTTATTTGGGTATTCCTGCTCTCCTCATCTACAAAGTACAGAGCCAGGGCTGTGATTCAAACCAGTGGACCGTGAGGAGAAATATCATAATTTGACAGAAAAGTGTATTGGATTAAAATTGCTTAGCCCACCTTTAATGGAAGAAAATCCACAAAACATTTTGGACCAAGACAGGTTCCCAGAGGAGCAGAGGCCCATGAAGTTCTGCAGTCAGAGCCTCATCAGTTTCATATGGTTGTAAAGCCAGAACATCCACAGACAGGTTTTCTTTATGTGTTGCTTTCGATCATTTCTCCCTGCTGAGACAGAGGTAAAAGGTTCAGCCCCTTGTTTTGAAAATTTCGTTGTGCACTCGCAGTTGTATACTTTATATTTTAGTCTCCGAGTGGGGGTGCAACACTGTTTTCAGCTGATTCCATAATTTGTAATATTCTGAGGATCAGGTGTATTTCTGCACTTAACTCAAGAGATTTGCTCGGACACACACACAAACACCACAGTCACAAAGATGCGTATTCGAATCAATTGCACACAACAATGTGTGTCTTTCAGTCACTGATTGCTAATGTCTGTATTTCACTCCCAAGCAATCAACGTGATTTTTCCAAACCCTGTAAGCAGCCGAGCCCTAGCTTTCAAAGGTCAGCAGCCAATAGGTGTCTATTTGCTGGAGGTCAGAGCCAATCAGCAGCTCCTGGCCGGCATGACTTCCTGTCAGTTTTTATGATTCCTTCATCCTCGCCGCAGCACCAACCGTCCTCGTTAAGTTTGGGTTCGGGAGAGAAGAGATGGGACATATTAATGTCTTTTATGACACACTTTTGTGGGGGAAACAAATTGTCCTTTCAGCTCTGTGCAGCTGGCTGTGCTGTTTGTGCGTCCGAGGATTGGCCCAGTGTTCGGCTTCATCACTGTGGTGGGAGGAGAGAGAGAGAGGGATGAGTGGAAATGAAGAGAAGGCCACAGTGTACCCTGAGCTCATGTCTGACAGCACATTTGAAAGTTTTCTTCCTCTTACTTTTCTCCCTCTACTCCCCTCTGGCTAAGCACCCTCTATATGTCTGTGCTGTGTCTTCCCCAATCCCCTCTTCTCTGCTGTCACTTTGTCTTTTTGTTTCCTGTTTGTAAGCTACTTACTTATCGGCAACTCTTCCTTCTTCCCATCCTCTTATCTCATCTCATCTTTCTGCACCTCTTACCCACTCATCCCTTCCATCTCCTCATCTTTATCTCTTCAATTCAGCTGTATGATTTGGGCTCCCCGGCCGATTCCCAGTCCAGCTCCCCGGGCTGCCTGACCACCGACAGCAGCTGTGTCAACATGGGCTATCCGTCCTGTGGCCACCGGGGTCGCTGTCACGGCGAGTGGGGCTCCTTCAGCTGCCAGTGTGTGCCTGGGTACACAGGACACCAGTGTGAAGAGGGTAAGCCTAGCCTTTTTTTTTTTGGGGACTTATTTTTACCATCATCTAAATCTTTCATGTGCTCAGGACAGATCATGTGCTCTGTGGCTACAAACGTCAATATCTGTGCTGAGTTAAAGCACTGAAAAATAATGGAGTCTGAGCACAGATACTTCATATAAGAAAACAGGTTTGTAGCACTGAAGTAAAATGGTGGGCAGCGTGTAGGTCTTAAAGTTTTATGTCACCAAAGGCACCCAAAGGAATTTTTTTAAGGCTTGGCCACAATTCAGCTCACTGTGCTGTGGAGGAAACAGATGGTTTCTCACCTTAAACATCTTTCGAACATAAACCCATATTAATTATAATATGGTCATAATTATTAAAATTACTTTTTATTTTAATGTGTGAATTTACAGCGCACATAATTATCACTCTTAAAATAAGCACGGCACCACAAGTGTCTCATGTGAGGAATCAAGAGGATAGAATGCGTCACATTACAATCAGGTTTTTTCTCACGCACAGCAGAGGAACTTGCTCTTTTAATTTGAAGTGTAAAGTTTCGAGCAGATGTGAATTTGTGAACATCCCCCTGCACATTAAGGGTGGGACCCTCCTATTTTGTAAACCTAGAACAGATTGTTAACGAGATTATCATTGTTGGACCTTTCCAACCAAGGTCAATTATACTTACCACTGCTGTTTCCATGTTCCCACATATTCTCACACCACCCGTTCTACCGGTCCTCAAGGAGAGTTACTCTAATGAGGCTTTTGCTGATCGCAGCACTCTCTGCCTGGCTTTACATCCCTGTCTCGTTCAGAGTGGTTAAGCCTCTCCAGGAGGACTCGCTCAGATGTAGATCTAGATAACAATGTGCAAAATATATGTTTTCTATTTTAGAAAATTTGCAAAAATCACAAACTCTCAGTTGACATCTTGTTGGTCTTAAACTGCTCTCAGGCTCCACAGTGATTTCTTTTGTCAGTGATTCATAATTAGTGTCATCTGTGGACATCTACAAACAACCGAGGGCAAGTAGACACATTTTCAATGAATAATTAAGTAGGTGAATTAATGAATAAATGACTGAAGGAATGTGAATGAATCACGCTCCATATTCATGAGATGATTCATATCTTTTTGAGGGAGAGAAAAACAGCAAGGTCTGGAGTCAGTGGGGTAAATGGAGGGTTTTGGCAGCCAATGAGGCAGGAAGAAAAAGTAGTGTGTATTCTTTTGATTTTCACACACAGGCTGTGTTTATGGGATGTTTCTTGATTACTTTTGCAGGCCCATGAAAACAGCCTGGATGCAATCTGGCAAGACAGAGAAAAATCCAGTTGGGGACTTATAATGCATCTCTCCATCATCACCGTCTTCTGTCATCTCTTTGTCTGATTTTAAAATTGTTCTATGTCCAGATTGTGTGCTTCAGATGAAATGTGTTTACACCTGCTCTAGTATTTAATTGTATTTATCAAATTTTGACTTTCATTTCTTCCAAAAATGTAATGGCCTGTACATCAGTAATATTTATGACAGGACAGTGAAATACAAACAGCCATGAGTTTGAACAGTAATTTAGTATTCTGAGGATGGATTGCAGAACAATAAATTCCCCAAGATGCATAGAAATTAAGATCTTATAAAATAAATCAAATTAGCAGTGAGAGACTATCCTCACTACTGAAGGTGCTTCAGGAATTTTGTCACCACACTCCTCGACACTGAGCAATCTATGTTTGAATATGGTAAAGATTATTTGTGTAAAATTGAGACATGCAGTTACCAGTGAACACGACAAAGAGTTGCAGGATCTCCGGAACCACTCAACTTTGTGAAGGTGTCATGGAGGAGAGGAGACGAAGAGGGAGAGTTGTAGAAGCAATAGATGGAAAAAATAATAAAAAGAAATCTAGCAAATGCTGTGAGATGGAAGAATGGCTTCAAGAAACATTTCAGGTGTACTTGGTTTAGTCTGGCAGGCTTCCACAAAATCCACTTCTGGGAGCATGAGTGTAGAAAAAAGGAGACTAAAGCACACATCTTGTGTATTTAGCATATTCTGTCGTGCCTCTCTGCATATGAGAGGAATTTAGGGTCTGATTTAGCCCAAGTTACTCAAAGACACTTCCTTCTGGAGTGAAGCGTCCTCTGCATCAATAAAATGCTGCACTGCATTCAGAATTTTAATTGTGTTTATTCTCAATCATACTACCATCTGACTGGTTTGTGTCTTGTTTATGTGTGTGTGTGTGTGTGTGTGTGTGTGTGTGTGTGTGTGTGTGTGTNGTGTGTGTGTGTGTGTGTGTGTGTGTGTGTGTGTGTGTACCAACACCAGAGGTCCCAGAGTATTCCTTTGACGGACATAGTAACGTGCACTACCAGTTGGCATCCCCGCTGCCAGCCCGAAAGACGTGGGTTCAAGTCCTTGTTCGAACCCGCAAACACAGCAGCACCATCCTCACTCTGATCTCCAAGGAGCAGAGCGAATACCTACGACTAGAGGTAAGACTGCTGAGGCATGTGTGTGTGTGTCTGACTTTGTTAAAGGTCATTGTCAGAGTTATTTTCAGTAGAATGTGATATATTACATTATATGTAACTAATAATATACTAAAATACTTTTTTGACAAACTTACGTTTGGTTGTCATATGTGGCTGCATCTGCTTATACTTGAAATTGATCAGACAGTAGACAGTTTTGTTATTCACAGCTCTCTGTTCCTGAGCTGTAGGTCTGTCAGCACAAACTCAAAAAGTGGAGGCTGGTGACTGTGGAGCCTCTTTCATTTTGTCTTCAGTGGGTACTTTCATTCTCGGGCGCTGTCTTCACACTGTGACACCTCTTTGAGACACAAACACGGCAAACATCTGTCAGCTGCCCACTAACACAATGTTAAAGCACACACACTGGATTTTTGCACCTTGTCTATGACAGGGATCAACAACTATGTTTGTCCTGGGGCCAGAATTTGTCTGAGAAGACACTGTGGGAGCCAGAATAATACAAATAATAATCATTAGAAAACATTAGAAAAAATTCTGCTTTATTGTTTTTTATAATATCCCGCTTCAGTGCAAAAATACTCACACACTCACATTTGAGGTCAGTAAATCGTCCCTCATAAAACTCTAATAAGATAATATGCATAAATATGGGGGTGGGGGGTTGTAAAATAAATTATTAAATGATACACTTCATAATGTACGATACACCGAAAATGTTTTAATTGTCAGGTGGTGACTTACAAATAACTGAACAACACACGCAGCTCAACACACACAGCTCTATCTGTGTTTGCTGTCAGTTCACATGTTGTGTCTGCCCTCTCTGGTTCTCCCACAGCAGCATGATGGCTGCTGTCCTGCTCCTCCTCCTCCTCCTCCATCTCTCTCTACATTATCTGCATCCATCCCTCCCGACCCTCCCGTGCTGCCTCAGCTGCCACAGCAGTGCAGACTGAAGCCTGAAACAATTTGAAACAAATGAATTGTATAATAGTCACACTGGTCAGACTGTTCAACTTTTCCACATGTGGTTTCCTATGATTCTGGCTTCTCTGTTTGGCTGACTCCTCTGGTCCAGACTGCGTTTGTGCCTCCTCAGGATGAGCCCTTTAGAGTGTTTGAGTGTTTTCTTCCTCAGCCCACATGAATATTGAAAAATATCTTCAGAGTCAGAGTTAAATAATCAACATCAATATTATCTATACTTGACCATGCGGTTGATATTGACTAGGAGCTAGGCCAGCCGGCTTCTCTGCAAACCTTCGTCCTGCACTGCATCCCGATGGTGTTTTGATTAGAGTGCATGGAGAGAATGGGCTGAGAGAGCAGGAGAAAAAGAGAGAGACAGAGAGTGGGCAAGGTGAGGCTGAGAAAATCAGTGTGTTGCACACTGTGCTTTACAATGAAATAAGATTTTACCCATTTGAAATAGTAATAAAAAAATAGAAAATCAATATGGGGCATCAATGTTAATATTGTGGTGGGCTGCCACAAATAAATTAATGTATGAGAAACACTGTAGTAGAAACAAACTGCCAGATACCCTAAACACCAGAACTAAAAGTTTTTCCCACTCAGATTTTCTGAATTCATTAACATTCTGCCGGTCAGAGAGGGGAAGCTTTAGTGGAGCGAATGTGTGAAAAATGTGAAACACTTCACAAATATAAAACCAGCAACTGTTGTTTTTACATTTCTGACTGAGAGGTCGAGGACACTGCACCGATCTACACCTGCCACCCGCAGCTATTGGATGGTTATTGCTGTCAGTCACACTGTATCCCCTCCCCAATGCTTACCATGCTATGTGACTCTAAATAGAAATATCATGCTCTTTTGAAAAGGGCTTCAAACTAGTGATGGAGACCATAAACTCCATCTGAAAATGTTTATTTACGTCATTATTCAAAGGACGTAAAGATTTTTTTTTGCCACCAGCAGAGCAGCCCTCTTCTGGTCATTTAGAGAATACAGTTTCCAGGCACCTTGGACCCGTGGTCTTCTGCCATTTTAGAAACAGTCTTTTCTCAGACCTGAAGAAAACATTCTCTTGCAGTGTATTACCAGTGCAGATGATGTGGATTAACACTGACAGCAACACTGCCAGGACTGAATACATTAAATGTATTATTTGCTTATTTGGCTTTAAGGTTTCGTTTGCTGTATTTTTTCACATTGGTTGCTTTGCTCATACCTGAATTCTTCTCTTTATGTCTAGTTATTATAAATGTTTATTCGCCAGCCTCCCTCTGTTTTTTTACCCCTCTGCTATCATGCAGTATCATCTCAGTCCGTTCCTCTCCCTGTGTCATATCCCATGCTGCGACCGCAGGTATTGATCAAACATCAGCGTCTGAAATGATGATGATTATCCACAAGCCAGCTGCCGTCCTGGTACAACCTCTCCTCTGATCCCTGTCTGACATCCATCTTTCTCTCCTCTCTATCCATCATTCCGACAATTTCCTCTCAAATGTCTTAAATGTCATGCTGCTCCCTCAGCACAGCCCCATGGGGAGCAGGTTCACATCATTTATCCAACATAAATAGTCCATTTATTCCCGAGTGCAGATAGCATGAAAATGTGTGTAATCTTATGAAGTAGCCTCCCCACTGTGAAACACTGGAAACCCTGCAATGTTCTTTGATAGAAATATAACCATGTTGCCTTCTAGGATTAGTTTTTTTAATGTAATTCTTCTATTTGTTTTTAATCAGAAGGAAGAATTAGTATGCGTTGCTCATGGCTGGCTGCAAATTCACAATATGAGGCACTCTGGCTCTCTGCTGTGTTTCTGTGACTTGCAAACATGGTCGGCTTGAGATACTACATTTTATTTCCTTTAAGCCAATTTTCCTCTCTCTGATTAAAGAGTAGTTGTTTTTATTTTATTTTAGATTCATATGAGCCAGTGGATATTAACCTAAATCAATGGGGACTTATGAATATTTTGGTTTTGTTCTTATCTTGTTAAAGATTAGAGTGTGGCAGTTCTTTCTAAACCACTGGGAATCATACATATAACATGATAATAAGGTCAAAGGTTCAGAGAGAAGCTTTAACAACTTTTAATGGCATATTGAAGTCTCAACAGTGAACTGGCTGAGGTGATGTGTGGAAGTACTTGACTGTGGAGGCAGATCACAACCTCTTTTGTGGATGAAAGATGTTCCACAGTGTAGGAGGTGCACAGTCTCTTTGATATCACTCAGTGTCGTACGGGTGCTTTCATGTTGTGGTGTGTCTGTCTTACTCCTGTGGGTGACGGGCTCGGTGTAACACCTGTAAAGTTGAGTCAAGATGTTTCAGAGGCTGCAGCTCAGAACACTGAGCCAGGTTGCTTAGTCATCATACAAGAAAATTAATAAAGTAATTACATTACTTCACAAATTACTTTGCAGCCAATGTAAGGTGCTGTTACTTGAGTCTTGTACCTCGGCTGTTAGCTCCGTCGAGGTCCCTTAAAAAACTTAATCCAAGTCCATGCTAACGTTGCTGAACACACATATCAAATGACCATTCACATACACTTGGCATGTGTTTGCCGGTGCAAACAGGAAGCAAGTGGTTGTTTGTTACACACAAGATGCAGTACTGGCGAGCAGGGATTTATTTGCTTGGACTGATGAAGAGGTCTGAGAACTGTCACTACTTATGTTCTGCACTGGTAGCCGGGGCTGATGCCATTTTTATTCTTTTGGAAATGTGTCATGTGAAAGGAGCCTGATGAATCAGCAAAGGCTACGTAGGGAACGAAAAGACCGGGGCTGTGTGAACGCCTATCTGTGGTTAACATACATACAGTACATGCAATGTCAGCCAAGAACACAGAGAATTTGAAAAAGAAACATAAAATGAAAAACTATAATCCTTTACATTACTTCTTACTGGGAAATGACACAACTCATATTAAGTCTGCTCAATTATTGAACACGTTGATGTAAAGTTTGACCACAATCAGAGTACAATACGAGGAAACATCCTTTGGGAACAATCAGTCTCTCAACTTGTAGTATCTATGACAGGGAGGCAGCTAAACACATTTCAGAGACCTGACTACCTACAGCAGCAACAAAGTGGGAGAAAGTGTCAGATGGTGCTGCAGCAGATTCAGCGAGAGCTCAGAAAAAACAGCAGTGGAAACATTTGCTCAGAGTTTGCGATGCTATCGAGTTTAAAACCACTGGTACCAAGAGTCTGATGTCACAGTCTGATATCAAACAGAACACTTAAATAAGACAAGATAAGTGTTCTGTTTGATACAATAACTAAATGTATCATACACAAAGTGCTGAAACCGAACATGTCAACATAATGATATAGTTTCTACCTCATAATATTGGCAGCTATCTATAACCCTGCTTTCAGACTGTGTGTCACTGATGGGCTCATTGTGATTTCTGATGCGACTGTGGATGTGTGATTCTTGTCTGACACTGATGGAGTCGTGCTGTTACGCTCTGTACCCGAATCAGATCCCACCAGCTTTGATGTTTATTAGAGCCAATTGAATTAAAAAGAAATAACAACACAGTGTTCTCTCTCTCTAACGTTCTGCATGCCAACAGTGAAAGCCAAAATTACACATTCATTTGGTTAACTCATATATTTGACTCAAGCAGGTGATCTGCCGCAGTGTTTATAACTCGATCGCTGATCATTAACAAATCATGAGGAGCGCCAAATGTCCGACACTGGCATCCTTCATCTCACTCACTGACGCGCTGTATGAACGTGGTGCCTGTTTCAAGCTGTTATTCCAGCCATTACAGTGAGTGCTTCGAGCTCCCACTGTGTGCTCCCTGACAGAGGAGCACACCATGAGCAGCGCTTACTGTCAGGTGAATAAGACACAACCGTTGCTGCCCATTTTAATCATTCAACCACAAGTGTGGTGCTCTCGCAGCCTCACAGGCCGCAGTTGTTACACAACACTACATCTCTCTTTTTGAGATAAAAAGACAAATATCACTTATCACCTGAAATGAATGAATGT